TCTCAGGATGATCAATCCATTATTGAAAGTGGCATATTGAAGTTCCCCACTGTTATGTATTGCTATCTATTTCTCCCATCATGTCTGTTAATATTTGCTTTTTATATTTGGGTGCTCTTATGCATAAATATTTAAATATTTACAAATGACATCAATTCTTATTGGGTTCACCCTTTATAATTATATAATGACTTTGTCTCTTATTACAGTCAATCTTTGGCATAAAATCCATTTTGTCTGACATAAGTATAGCTACTCCTGCTTTCTTTTGGTTCCATTTACATGGAATTTTTTTTATCCCTTCATTTTCCATCTGTGTGTGTCCTTAAAACTGGAGAGAGTCTCTTATAGGAAGCACTGAGTTGGTTTTATTTTATATCCATTCACTCACTCTTTTGATTAGAGAATTCAGTGTCTTGGGGTCCCTTGGATCCTCATAACCTGTAAGATTTTTCACAACCTTTCAATGAACAGTTGAGAAAACACATGGATTTAGGAGTTTTCTTTTTTTTAATTTTCCTTCCCACAAAATATCAAGTTTAAATAATGTGAATTTTTAAAAGATTGCCAAATTAAGAAATAGTCTTTGATACAAAGTTAAACTTAAAATATGTTTATTTTGTACTAATTGTAAGAAAAGAGGGTAAGGCTGAAGGAAGAGTAGTAAGTTTACTATATATATAAATATTCTATATACCTACCCAGACGTATAATAGAGAGATACCATCTTAAAATTAGTACAAATAGATCTTGTTTGAGTATATCATTTGTTGGATATCTATTACTTCACATGGCAATATGTTTTTACGTGTAACTTCATATATTGCTTAAATTCATATATTGCTGATTTTTCACTTTAGAATTTTTCTATCTTCATTTTGGGGACAAGGAATGAGCATGACTGCTTGAAAGGGGAATCAGCTAATAGCTGAAACAGTAATAGGTGTCTTTTCTCATTTATATGTTTAATTAATATTTGATAAATAAATGCCAGAAATTTTTATTTAAACTTACCTATTGGTTTGGGGAAAGTATCTCTTAATTTGAAGACATTTATTCAAATAATTTTCATCCCAAATAAGAAATAAGGAAGGAAAATGAACTGCATGGCTGAGATTTCAAGGAATCACTACCTTCACACTAAGGAAATTAATCACCCCAGGGGCCCCTGCCCCAGAAATCCCTCCATGGAGGTTCTCTGGCTCAAGCAATGTGTGGGAAGAGGGTGTCTGTTTTGCCTATCATGCCTAAAATCAACTCCCATTTGCTGACTCTGACAGCTAAAGTCTTAGCTACTGGTTGAGCCAGAAAAGAGTCTCTAAACAGTGATAAAGTTTGTCCCAGATGCTCTTTATCTCCACATCAAAGAAGGCGTCATTCTACTCTCTGGAGCTCCAAGCAAACTGAGTCTCTCCAGGTCTACACTTACCTCCCATTATGGACTGGAGTGTGACTAGGTTTGCAAGCAGGGATTTGAGTGGCCACACAAACCAGTCTGGGGCCACATTCCCCACAGTGGACATCAGTGAGTAGGTATGGTCTCCTATCACAAACTTAAGCTGTATATGGGGGATACCAGAGCAAAAGGAGCAATCTTGTTTATCACCCTCCCTTAGACCTTGCTTTTTGGAATCCAGGCAAAAGGAGCTGAGTTCCACTTACAGTAACTCCACATTCCCAGTATTTGGGGAGGTCTGAACTGAGACCTCCAAACCCAACAATGCAGTTTTCTTTGTTCTCTCAGCAAACCTCTCTCTTACCCTCCTTTTTAATTCGTGTCAAAAAATACAGTGAGAATTCAGAAAGCTGAGCTTCCTGAGCAGTGTTTCACACCCAGCCACCTTCCTGGCTGTCAACCAGCCCAGTGATAATTCATGAGTCCTATCAGGGCCAAACAGAGGCAGGCAGGCTGATCATGCCACCCTGATTTGGGCTTGGTCAGCTCCCTGATGCCCCTTTTCATGTCCTGATGCCATCGAGTTATCTTTAGGTTCATGGTTCACCCACTCTTAGGAAAAGAAGCCAAATTTCTAACTCCATGGGAGTGACTATTTGTCAGCCCCCAAGAAATAAATGGACTATTCTCTCCATGGACCCTGCCATCCCTCCTCTCTCTCTTGCCTCCCCTTACTTTAGTGTCTCTCATGCAGTTTTTTTTCATACTTGCTCCCCTAAAAAGACTTCAGAATTTTTTCCTAATCTCTCCTTAATTTCTGCTAAGGTATTGAGGTATTAATTTCCTTTGGCTGTTGTAACAAAATACTGCAACCTGGGTGATGTAAACAACAGACATTTCTTGTCCCTCACTCCTGGAAGCTGGAAGTTCAAAATCAAGGTGTCAGCAGACTTGTTCCTTCTGAGGGTTGGGAGGAAGAACGTGCCCCAGGCCGTTCTCCTAGCTCTGGGTGGCCTCAAGCATTCCTTAGGTTACGGATGGTGTTCTCCCCACCTGCGCACCCTCTTTACTCTGTGCATATCTATCTCTCTGCCTAGTTTCACCTTTTGTGAGAACATCAAGCATGTTCAAGTAGGGCCAATCCTAACGACCTCATTTTACTCCTCAGATCAATTTCTTAGATGTTCGGAATGATTTGATATTTATTTAGCTGTGTTTGAGGGATGAGGAAAGCATAGGGTCCCCCAAATACTCCTCCATCTTAACTCTTCCCCCTCCTAATGACTTCATTTTAACTTGAGTATCTCTGTAAAGACTATCTCGAGGTAAGGTCCCATCCTCAGGTACTGGAGGTGAAGACTTCAATATGTTTTTGGAGGAACACAATTCAGTCTGTAATGATCCATGAAATTTTAATAACTCATATATATGTACTTCTGTTTATATACTATGTATGTGTGTGTGTGTGCATGCATGTGCATGTGCACATGCTTTATAAATGGTAAGAGTACATATAAAGCTTGCTCTTTTCATTCAACGCAGGGTTAAAAGTCACTAAACAAAAAATTTAAGGTAAAAGTTAAAACACTTAGCAGTATTAAAATTTGCTTTACTGTATAACTGTACTTGCTGAGTGTGGTGCACAGACCACATAAGGTAACCCTCAAAAACCCTATGTGTATGTAAATGGTAAGTAGAGTCTGGCATACATCCATGGATTTGTAAAGATCAACATTTAAAAATCTGCAATATGCACCAAATCATTATTGCATACTATATACTGTGCCTCTTCATCCACAAACAACCCCATAGGCTAGGAGACTGCAGATGGCCCTATTAATTAACCATTCTGTGGTCCTGTGCCTAATACTGAATCAAGCCATGATGACAGGCCATGCCTGCCCTGATGGCCAACTCCACCAAACCAGTGACACATGACAAGGGAAACTCTCACATAAAAAGACACCAGGTAGGCACAATACAACTACAGGTGTGCACTTTATGATCCAAAAAGTGAGAAAAACTGAGACCTACATGGCCAGCTGGCTTTTCTAAGGTCTGAGGGGACAATCCTGGGATGAGAGCTCTCCATTGAGTATCTTCTAACCTATGCTCTGAGACCCATTTTCCATTCACTGACCCTTCTTGCCATATCTTATCTTCCAGATTCAGGATGAAATCTTAACACAGGGTAGAGTTTGCTCCCTAAGCCCAATACCTCCTGAGCCAAAGCAAAGGGATCCACAAACAGGCAGACTCTCTACAAGCCTGCACAAATCCACTCACCCATTTCTAACTGGAATATGATTGAAGCCTGGTGGCAGGTCCCTGAGGGGCCATCTCAATGCAGTCAGGGACCCTGTTCCCCACACAGGAAGTCAATGAGTGGGTGTGGGCTCCTACTATGGCTTCTGGGGAGCCAGCAGACCAGAAGGACAGGGCTTGAGTATCACCCACTCCCACATCTTGTTTGGAAAAGCTGTCCTGGAGGGGTTGAGTCACTCTCCCTGGCATCTGATCTTTCCCTGGTCTGCCCTAGTCTACCCCCAGCTCTGCTGTTCTCTTCTCTGAGGACAAACAGTGTTTGCTACTTCTTGCCACTCTCTGGATTAATTACATTAAATACAGTGAGATTAGTGCATCTATCTGTTCTTCTGGGAAGACTAGTCTTAGTGATGTTCTCTTCAAGTCCAGTCACCTTCCATGATATCCAACTGGCCATGGAAAATTTACATATGTCCCTCAAACCAACAAGTCTGAGTGTAGGCAGCTTACCCGCATTCTCTCCCAGCCTCACCAGACAAGAGTTCCCTTGTCTCTCTAACCCACACCTTAGCCCATCTGTGCTTTTGATGGTTTGCCAACCTGAAAGGAGAGAGATTACCAGGACCTGACTAATATGGGGTAGTGATGGTGGTGGCAGAGGGTGTTGGGGGTCAGTTGTGGGCCCTCCAAAATTGATAAGGTCCCTTGAGGTTCTACTCTTTTTTGTTGGGAAGAGGAAACTGTCTCTCTCTTCCCCCTTGACAGATAAGCAGAGGAACCATACTCTGCCTGCATGCCTCCATTTAGTAGTCCTAAATGGCTCCTGATTCTCTAGGTTTGCTATCTCTTGACTTACCCTTTCTCCACACCTCTCAGCACTAATATCTCCACAAATTCAGTGGGTGCTCACCCTTCAGAAAAGAGATGAGGGTCAATCCCAAACTCCCTATAGGTATGAGGTCAGCAGAGGATGCTTGGACCCATCTCCAAATGTATTGAGTGATTTTTGGCATTTAGATGGGAGAGGGACTGGTCTCTCTCTATAAACACCATCAATACATAATCGCAGTCCTCTCCCTCCCTGTCCTCCTCTTTCCTTGGTTAGGGGCTGGGACGTGGAACTGGGGAGGTGATACATCTGATCCTCTGCACTGACTCCCCTCCCAGGTCAGGAGCTTCCACCACTTGCAGAGGCCTCTCTAAACTCAGTGTGTGTGCGCGCACACACATCATTAACAGAAGTCATGAATGAGGCCCACCCATGATCTGGATCCTAGTTCTTCAGTCCTGCCTGGGCCAGAGCATGAGAAATGGGAAATGATTCTACATTTCTTTGCAGGAAACACACATGAGGTAATCCAGGTGCAACAAGCTGAGATGACACAGACTGTATCAACTGGAGAGACAATCACCTTGGGTTGCAGTGTACCAGATTCATTCCCAAAAGGACCCGTCTTATGGTTCAAGGGACATGGGCCAAACCGGGAATTAATCTACAACTTCAAAGAAGGTTTCTTTCCCAGAGTAAAAGAAATTGGACACCCCACCATACCTGGCAACACAGACTTTTCCATCCACATCAGTGAAATCTCTCTTGCAGAAGCCGTCATCTACTACTGTGTGAAGTTCAAGAAGGGGAAACCTGACATGGAGTTCCAGTCAGCTCCGGGTACCCAAGTGTCTGTTATTGGTGAGTAGGTCCCCTCTACCCCTTGTGTTATGATATATTATCTCAGTTAAAATATCGTCCATTCATTGAACAATTGCAATATGCCAAATATTCCTCAGTATTTTATACATTTGATATTGTTTAATTCTCAGCAACCTGTGAGTTATTTTACAGGAAGGGAAACTGAGACTCAGAAAGATTAATGGAGTGGTGAGGATTATTTCTGTTTACTTCTTTTTTTAAGATTTTTTATTTATTTATTTGGGAGAGAGAGAGTACACAAGCAGGGAGGGAGGGGCAAGGGAGAGAGAGAAGCAGACTTCCCACTGAGCAGTGAGCCCAGTGCAGGGCTTGATCCCAGGACCCTGAGATCATGACCCCAACCAAAGGCAGACACTTAACCAACTGAGCCACCCAGGTGCCCCTACTTCTTTTTTTTTTAAGATTTTATTTTTAAGTAATCTCTATATCCAACATGGGGTTCAAACTTACAACCCTGAGATCAAGTCGCATGCTGTACTGACTGAACCAGTCAGGCACCCCTATTTCCATTGACTTCTTAACATTCAACCCACCCCCAATAGCTAGAGTAAACCAATTAAGGTAATGTCATGTCCCCTAGCAGTGGTTGACTCAAATATGGGACTGACTTAAGCCAATTTCATTATATAAGTGAAAAAAACAGGTTTGCAGAGAAATCTGGGAAACTAATGAATTCTCTTTCCTATTGGATGAGAACAAGCAGTTGTGTTGCCCATGTGCTCCAGAGAGACATCATCTCATCGTGAAAGGAATCAGTTGAAAACTGTGCCAGAGGAGTACAGATATGTAGAGAGTATGGGTTGACACCATTGCATGTCTATATTGTCCTGATCCACCTCCAACCTCTGGACTCCCAGTTCTGGGAGAGAGAACTTATTGCTTTTTTTAAATTTTATTTGTCAGAGAAAGAAAGCACAAGCAGGGGGAGCGGCAGGCAGAGGGGAAGCAGGCTCCCCGATGACCAAGGGGCCTGATGCAGGACTGGATCCCAGGACCCCGGGATCATGACCTGAGCTGAAGGCAGACGCTTAACTGACTGAGCCACCCAGGTGCTCCATGAGAGAGAACATACTGTTAAGTCAGTTTGCTTAAAGTTACACTGTCTTAAGAGATGCCAGGTGATAAAGGTCCCACATCCACAGATTGTTGAAATAAAATTGCTTCAATTTTTCTACTCCCAAACCTTAATTTTTCTTAGTGTTTGCTGCTTGTGTTGCCCTTTAAACTCTGAGCAGTACTCAACACAAGAAATTACTGAATTTGCAGTATTGTAACACTACCATTTATCAGGCATCTACCATATCCAAGAACTTTTCCCATAATTATATTTAGCTGTATAGCAACTTGAGTATAAGAATGCTTGTCCTTGTTATACCTATAAAGAAACTAAAATTCAAGCAGATTTAGGGGTACAGATAGTAGAGGGAAGAGGTGAGGCTGGTCTGGGGTTCTCCAGCATGCTCTACAGATTAGTAAAGAACCTTTCTTTATAAGGGATAAGAACCCAATACATTAGTTTAAACCAAAAATTGAAGTTGGATGATCCTGTAGTTGAGAAGGATTCTAGATTCTTTCGGGGAGACTTTTAGGAATCAAGAACTAGAGGTCTGGACTTAGGGCTCAGTGTCACCAAAACTCTTATTCTCTAAAATTCTCTCATCTCTTTCATTTTTCCCTCACTTTGTTCTCATCTGGTACAAATGGCTGTTTTCCATATGATGAGGAAAATAAGTGAAGAAAATTTAATATTCATTCCCCCAGCTTAGCGGCCAGGATGGAAAGAGAACATCTTCCTGCCAGCCTCCATAAATGAATCCCAGGGAATCATTTGAGATTACCTTCCCTCTGTCATGTGCCCAACATTTCACTTACTCTTATTGCAAGAGAGAGGAGGTCCACTACTAGGTCCAAACCCTTCATATAACATAGGAGGAAGTTCAGACCCAGAGATTTGGCCTGCCTAAAGTTACCCAGACAATGGATACTAGAATTTAGAACACCTACTCCCAGAATCCCTTGGATTTATGTTTTTGCCTCCTCTCTAATAACATTCTAGTCAGAGTGGAGCTGTGGGAGTTGTTTAGAAGGGGAATATTATGAGTAAATTCAACATCCCTATTAAATACTCAGAGTCAGAAATGTACTAAATTTATGCCACTTCTACGTAATAAATAAAAACATATATGTACATTTTTTATGATACTGAGCTATGTATTACTCTCCTGTAGTTGGTGTAACTAATTGCCACAAACTTGATGGCCTAAATAACAGTAATAGACCCACTCCATGGAGACTCCTGAATAATTAAAAAAAAAATTTTAAGTCTCTGGAATTGGTAGTGATGGCATAACATAAATGAGGAAACATTTATTTTCTCATTAGAATTAATTTAATATAAATATGAAGCTGATTTTGAGTCATGAGTCAACATGTATATCATAAGCTCTAGAGTGACCACTAAGGAAGTGACTCAAAATATACACTAACATTTTTTAATAAGATGGTACATTGGAAATACTTACTTGATGCAAAAGAAAAGGGTGAAAGAGAAAGACACAAACAAACAGAGATGAGAAATATAGAAAACAAAAAGTAAAATAGCAGGCATAAACCTAACTATTTCAATACTATTAAATGTGAATGGATTAAAAATTCTAATCAAAGGCAGAGAGATGGTTGTGCTGGATTTTTTTTTTAGAGAGAGCATATGTGCGAGCAGGGGGACAGGCACAGAGGGAGAAAGAGAATCTTAAGCAGGCGCCATGCCCAGAGTGGAGCCCAAAGAGGGGCTCAATCTCACAACCCTGAGATCATGACCTGATCCAAAATCAAGAGTCAGTTGCTTAATGGACTGAGCCACTCAGGTGCTGCTCATGCTGGGTTTTTTTAAAAAGATCCAACTATATGCTGTCTACAGGAGCTATACTTTAGATTCAGTGATACAAACAGATTGAAAGTAAAAGGAAGCAAAAGATATATCGTGCAAAAGACAACCACAAGAAAGCAAGAAAGCAAAAGTAGTTATATTAATATCAGAGAATATAGACATTAAGACAAAAAAAGTATGTTATTTGAGATTAAAAGGGTCATTTTACAATGACAAAAAGTTTCATTCCATCAGGGAGATAAGATAATTATAAACTTACATGTATATAACCACAGAATACCAAAATATGTGAAGTAAAAATTAACAGAAATAAAGGGAGAAATAGATAATTCAACAATAATATTAAGAGACTTCAATATTCCACTTTTGGTAATAGATAGAACAATTATGCACAAAACAAACAAGGAAATAGAGGAGTTAAACACTAATAAAAAGCAACTATCCCCAACACGTATCTATAGAACACTCCACCCAACATTAGCAGAATACACATTCTTCTCAAATGCACCTGGAATATTCTCCAGAATAGATCATCCATAAAGCAAAATTCAGTAAATTTAAGAGAATAGAAATAATACAAACTATATTCCCCAACCACAATGAAATGCAATTAGAAATGAATACTAGGAAGAAATCTGAAAAACTTACAAATATGTGGAAACTAAACAGTACATTCCTAAATAATCAATGGGTCAAAAAAAATCAAAAAGGAAATTATGAGATACTTTGTGATGAATGAAAATGGAAAAAAATATGCAAAAACTTATGGAGTACAGCTAACAAAGTGCTTAGAGGGAAATTTATAGCTGTAAATACCTGTAATTTTAAAAAGGTGATCTCAGATCAATAACCTTCCACTTAAGACATTTGAAAAAGATAATTTCTAATAATTGTTTCTATGTCCTTGGTGTTAGTCATGATCTCTCCCCTTTCAGTCATAATTTTATTAATTTAGGTCCTTTCTCTTTTCTTTTGGATAAGTCTGGCCAGTGGTTTATCAATCTTATTAATTCTTTCAAAGAACAAGCTTCTAGTTTCGTTAATCTGATCCACCGTGTTTCTGGTTTCTAATTCATTGATCTCTGCTCTAATCTTAATTATTTCTCTTCTAATGCATGGCTTAGGCAACATTTGTTGCTTTTTCTCTAGTTCTTTAAGGTGTAGAGTTAGTGGTGAATTCGGGATTTTTCTATTTTTTTGAGTGAGGCTTGGATGGCTATGTATTTCCCCCTTAGGACTGCCTTTGCAGTATCCCATAGGTTTTGGACCGATGTGTTTTTGTTCCCATTGGTTTCCATGAATTGTTTAAGTTCTTCTTTGATTTCCTGGTTGACCCAAACATTCTTGAGCAGAGTGGTCTTTAGCTTCCAAATGTTATACACTAACAATGCAACTGTAGAAAGAGAAATTAGGGAAATGATTCCATTTACAATAGCACCAAAAACCGTGAGATACCTCGGAATAAACCTAACCAAAGAGGTAAGGGATCTATACTCTAGGAACTACAGAACACTCATGAAAGAAATTGAAGAAGACACAAAAAGATGGAAAAATATTCCATGCTCATGGACCAGAAGAATAAACATTCTTAAAATGTCTATGCTACCCAGAGCAATCTATACCTTCAATGCCATCCCAATCAAAATTCCAATGACATTTTTCAAAGTGCTGGAACAAACAATCCAAAAATTTGTATGGAATCAGAAAAGACCCCAAATCGCCAAGGAAATGTTGAAAAAGAAAAACAAAGCTGGGGGCATCACGTTGCCCAATTTCAAGCTATATTACAAAGCTGTGATCACCAAAACAGCATGGTACTGGCACAAAAACAGACATATAGACCAACGGAACAGAATAGAGAGCCCAGATATGGACCCTCAACTCTATGGTCAAATAATCTTTGACAAAGCAGGAAAAAAATATGCAATGGAAAAAAGACAGTCTCTTCAGTAAATGGTGCTGGGAAAATTGGACAGCCACACGCAGAAGAATGAAACTTGACCATTCTCTAACACCATACACAAAGATAAACTCAAAATGGATGAAAGACCTCAATGTGAGACAGGAATCCATCAAAATCCCAGAGGAGAAC